TTTTTAATTTTACAACTTATATTCATAATGTAAGATTTTGAGCTCTTCTGGCATGCAATATATACTCTTGGCATCACTGAAACCACATACTGGCCTCTGTTTACTTGAGTTGACTACTCAAAGGGAGGAAACTCTAGAAATATGTTCCATTTGCCCAGCGTTTTATTTAGTATCTGCTATATGTCCAGCACTCGGCTATAGGAATTAAGAGTTGTGAATTTAATAAAATCTGGTTCCTAGCTGAAGGTTTAGGAACAACAGGAATGGAGGTAGTTGTCAGTGTGCACGATGGATAGTAACTTTAAGATTGGAGAGGGTGTGATACAAGGAAGACCACTGTAATAGTTCATGAATGGATTACTCCATTTTAAATTAACATAGTGGCAGTAAGAATAGAAAGGGAGACTAATTCGGGAGATACTTGGGAGTTGGTTGAAATGGAAAAGATATAATGAATGTTCGTTGAAAGAGAAGGAATAGCCAAGATGCCTCCCAAGTTTCTGTTTCAGGAGATCAGGTAAATGGAGGTACTTTTTTCAAATTAGTTTATGACATGCTGCATTTTGAAATTTTTGGTAGCTACGAATAAAACACCCACAGTATGAGCCATTGTTGAATTGCTTTAATTAAAACTGTAAGTGCATTATAAGGAAAGCCTAAATCTTATCTTTTGTTACTTAGTTATTTTTCTTTTCAGGTTAAATATTCTTTTTTTTTTTTTTTTTAAATAGAGGCATTTTATTTATTTATTTATTTGTTTGTTTGTTTGTTTGTTTTGTTTATACATGCACTGGGTACAGTCAGAATCAGGTTAAATATTCTTAACCATGTTTCCAGTAAGTAACTACTAAGATGATGTTAATAAGGGAGAAGATCAAATAAAAATATACAAGGTCTCTTTTAGAGTTCTGTTACATCTCATAGTCATTTGTTGTGCTTTATGGTACTGTTTGTAGTTGAAGAATACAAAGATAAATAAAACAGAGTTGAATTACAATTGTACATATATAAGTGCTGTTACAGATATACCAAGAAGTAGTGAATTAGTAATCTCAGTGCATGGAGGAGAGGTGAAAGGAATTGGGAAGCCTTCAAACGGTGATTTCCAAACCCATAATTTCAAAACTATTCTTGCATTTTAATTTTGAAGCTTTCAACTCTATAGAAAAGTATAAAAACCAGGGCAACAAACAAACACCAGTTAAGATTTTCTCATATTAATTCTATCATTAAAATAGCCAAATACACATTGTTTAGATTGTAACAACTCTTCTAAAAAATACCTCAGTGGTTTTTTTCCCCAGTCCGGTGTACTGTTACTTTTCTTATGTATTATACTTCACTGTTAAGTCAATTTAGTCTTACATCTGGAACTATTCCTCCCCTTATTTTGTTTTTCATGACATGAATTTATTGGAGGAGAATGGATGCATCTATAGAAAGTCCTACCATTTGGGTTTGCCTGTGAGTTTCCTTGTTATTAGATTCGGTGTCAGCATTTTAGCAAGAGTACTACACAGATGTATTTCTTACTGCATCACATCAAGAAACACATGTAAAGTTGCCCCAGTTTATTGGTGATGTTACATGTGATCACTTAAGATGGTGTATGCAAGGATACATATACACGGAAAGCACAAACAAAATGAAAAGCACAAACACAGAAAGCACAAACAAAATGAAAAGATAAATAAGTAGGATGCCATCAAACTGAACAGCTTCTGCAAGGCAAAAGAAAGTGAAAAACTATAGAAAATATATTTGCAAATCATATATCTGATAAGGGGTTAATTACAAAACAAAAAGTATGTAGTTCAGTTAAAAAAAAATGGACAAAGGAGCTGGATAGGGTTTCTCTGAAGAAGATATGTGAAAGATTAACAAGTATATGAACAGATATTTACATTATTAATCTTTAAGGAAATGCACATTAGAACTGCAATGAGAATATTGCTGCCTGCCTGTTAGAACGGCCATAACATGCATAAAGATAACAAATGATGGCATGGATGTGAAGAAAGGGGAATTCTTGTGCATTGTTGGTGGGATAGTACATTGGTGCATCCACAATGGAAAACAGTATGGATGATAGATAGATGGCTTAAATTTTAAGCCACAATGTTTAATTGAACATTTGATCAAGCAATTCTGGGAATGCATACAAAGAAAAACACAAACTCAGAATGATATCTGCACCCCATGTTCATAACAGCATTATTTACAATAGCCAAACATGGAAACAACCTGTGTAAATCAGTGGATGAATGAATATCTATATCCAGATAGGTAGGTAGGTAGGTAGGTAGAAAGAAACAAACACATAGACATACACATACAATTGGATATTATTCAGCTATGAAGAAACAAGGAAATCCTACCATTTGGGGCAACGTGTAACACCTTAAAGGCATTATGTTAAGTGAAATAAATGAGATAAGTACAAATACTGCAGGATTTTACTGATGTAGAGTCTAAAAAAGAAAAAAGAAGAGACCAAACTTGTGGTGAAGGTGGCCAAAAATTCTGGTTACAATATAAGCTTATACTAGGAATGTGACAAAAATGTTGACTATAGCTAACACTGCTGTATAATATAGAGGAAAGTTAATAAAAGTTACCATCACAAGGAGAATTTTTTTTTCCTTTATTGTACCTATATTAGAAAGATGCATGTTAGCTGAACCTATGTAATCATTTCACAAATCTGTAAATCAAACCATTATATTGCAGTCCTTAAACTTATACTATGTGTTAAGTCAGTTATTTCTCAAAACTAGGATCCAAGAAAAGGTGGTGACCAGGTCTCTCCATTTTCTCTTTATAATTAGTCAGTGAAGTATCTTGTTTTCCAATTATTTTTCACCCAACAACTTCAGTATCCATTGTTGATTCTTCCCTAAATTGCAGTGGTGTTGCAAAATGGTGATTTTTCTAATTCTGTCATTCTTTCTACATATATAAAGATATACATCTGGGACCAATAAAGAAAAGAGTATTCCCATCTCTATTCCTCTCCCCAATATTGCTTTGGACTTTTATTTTTTTTGTTTGATTTATCGTGTCACTCTTTCTGATTCTCAGATTCTTCCAGATTTGAACAGTGGAAACACCTTTAAGCCAGTTTTTGTTTCCTTTGGCATACTTTCAGGCATTAAATAGAAATCTCAGACTTACCTAGAATTTCCATGTTCCAGATCTGAAATAAACCATTTTTTTTCAGGGGACCATTATTCCTTTTAATGGAGAACAGTATTTGAGCTAATTCAGGATAAGTAGAAGTCATGCCAAGGGGCGGGCAGGGGGTCAAAAAAGGCACAAAAACATATGAAATGGCAAGAAATGTTTGATGAATAGAAAATTTTGAGCAATTTCAAAACATGAAGTACAAAGTTTGAAATGAATAAAAGTGAAGAACTGGTGGATCATTATTCATTGTTATGGTTTTTAGCTTGGGGAATGTGTATGAGAGTACTTCAAGCCCATGACTAACATGACAGTGTCATCCCAGTGAATTTTAATCTTATAAAATACCTTTATTTTAAAATAGGTACTCATATAGTATAATTTAAAAAATAATACATAAAACTATGTCAAGGTCAGGTTGGCCAACCAACTTGAGTAGAGTATGGGTAAACTTTCTTCTGGGATGGTTTGCTGCTGGGTTTTTTTTTTTTTTTTTTTTTTTTTTTTTTTTTTTTTTTAAGAGCACATAGTGACATTATCGCCTTGAAGACTAGATTTATATCAGGATCAAGAGAGAAGCAAGGATAAACCTTTTAGGAAAATATTGCCATTGTACAGGTAAGAAGTGATCATGTGAATGTCTGATTAGAGGTGATAGAAAAGGAGAGATAAGGATAGATTTCATGATGATAGAGGAAGCAAAATGAGCAGGACTTGGTCATGGAAAGAGAAGAAAATTTAGGACAACATACCCCATCCCCCTGGTATGACCAACCGGCTGCATTTGTATTTTTCCTCAGGCCAGGAAAACATAAGTTTGGGGTGAGGAAGCTGAAGCCATAAGTTAAGTTTTGGTCATGTTGAGCTTGTTCCATTAGATATTTATGTAGGATTCTAAAATTGAAGAAGTCTGTGGTAGAGAAGGATTAGGGAATTGACAACATATTGTTAGAATATGTCTCTCAGGGAGGTGCTAGAGGATGGGCATGAGCCAGGAATGGACTCTTCCTAATTCAGGTCTTCTCTCACTGAATATATTTAAGAGCATAAAAGAGATGTGTGGGGGAAGCAGCTTATATTTCACTATATTCGCCTTGTTTTCTGATAGAGAAATTTGGTTGTAGGAAAGCCATCTTGATCTTTTCTACTTGTATAATAGTTGTTTATAATTTTGTGCTCTTATTACACTATCAGTACTTATTCCTTATTTGGAGACTGACCTGCATGAAAATGTTAGCTCACATATATGTTTTCTGATTTTTAAATAAAAGCTAAAATCTAACTCCCATCACCACAAAGGAAGGACAACAATTCCAAAAATTAAAAAGTATAGCATTGATCTTTGTGCGTATTTATATTTTTCCTTCCTTTTAAAAATAAAAATTTAATATTGATCATAGTAGGCAAATGTTAGTGAGGCCTTATAGTTTGGTCTACTTTTTATTATCTGTATAGAGCTGGGTTTTGTTTTTTTTTTTTGTATGTTTAGCTCAATTTGCTTTAGTGTTGTTGGCAGGGTGTTTTGAAAGATTGTGAAACCAACCTTATAAAAATTAGCTAAAGGAACAATCAGTAAAGTAAATATCCTCTAAAAATTATAAGTAGAAAGTCTTTATATACTTCTGTTTTAGATTATCCACAAATTCAAGAACTAAGGGTACAAATTGAGGTTTAAATAAGAGGAAGATTCCCATTTCTCCTAGATAAGATATTAGATGTTTTGAATTGTGAGAGTCTTTAGTGCAAACTTTTTGAAGTTTCTGTTTTTATGAAAATAATATGGGAACTATTTAGACATTGTCTGTTTCTGATTTTAGATTGGGCTGGTTTGGATGAAGATGAAGATGCACATGTCTGGGAGGATAATTGGGATGATGACAATGTAGAAGATGACTTTTCCAATCAATTACGGTAAGTTTTAAGTCATATTTTTTATATAACTTCGTATCAATTGTAAGCATGGAATATATAACTTGCCTATGATAATTGACCTTTTTTAAGATTTTTTTATTTATGCATGCAAGAGCTGGGGTACAGGCCAGATGTGTAGGGGGTGAGAGGATTCACCAGAGACAGAGCAGAATACAGAACAGGCAGATTGACCGAAGTACACTGCTGAGGGGAGCAGCGGGCAAGTCAGGAGAAGTCTGCTGCGCTATGTGGGTTGCTCCGTGGCTGGCTGGGGATAGAACTCGTGCTGAGGTTGCGGACAGCTTCATAGGTTGTGGATAGCTTCATAGGTTGCGTCTTAACGCCTTGCGTCACCAGGGAGGCCAATAATTGACCTCTTAAAGGATAATTAATCTTTGAAATATGTTTTCGAATTATGAAAAACAAGATAATGACCACCTTCGTCTCCTGTGTTTCTAAGCGTAAGTACTTTGTGTAATTGCTTAGAATTTTATTTCCTTCTAGTGTCTTTACCAAAGGTAGTTAAATAGAAGCATATTTGCTATTTTTTTAGCCTTGTAGGTTCAACTTTTGTTAATTTTCTACTAATATTGAATAACTCAGAAATTAGAATCATAGAGTGGTGATAGGAGTGTACTTTTCATAGTCACATACAAATCTAAGTGTTATAATTGGTGATTGATGTAACATAAAATTAACCATCTCAGAGTGTACAATTTAGTGGCATTTTGTTTATTTATAGTGTTATGCAGCCATCATCTCTAGTTCTCAAACAACCTCAGCACCCCAAAAGGAAACAACATACCCATTAAACAATCATTCTGCATTCCTCCATACCTTCAGTCCCTAACAACCACTAATCTATTGTCTGTCTCTATGGACTTTACCTAAATATTTCATATAAATGGAATCATACAAAAAATTATTTTGTGTGTCTAACTTCTTTTACGTAGCATAATCTCTTCAGGTTAATCCATATTGCAGTATGTGTCAGTACTTCATTCCTTTTTACGACTAAGTAATATTCCAAAGGTATGGATATGCTATAATTATCTGTTCATTAGTTGAACGTTTGGATTTCCAGCTTTTGGCTATTGTGAACAGTGCTGCTTTGAACATTCATGTAGAAGTTCTGTTTGAATCTCTGTGTTCAGTTCATAGTTCCTGGAATATAATCCTAGGAGTAGAATTTCTAGGTTGTATTGTAATTCTGTGTTTAACTTTTTAAAGGACTGTCAGACTTTTACATAGTAGTTGACAATTTTACATCACTACCAGCAATCAATGAAGGTTCTAATATCTAAATTCTTACCAAAACTTATTTTACTTTTTTTTAAAGTTAGAGCTGTCGTAGCACATGTGAACTAGTAATTCATTTTGATTTTTATTTTCAGTTCCATAATCACTGGTATTGAGTCACTTCGTATAGTTTTGGTCATTTGTATAGCTTCTTTGGAGAAATACATATTCAACCCTTTGCCCATTTTTAAATTAGGTTGTCTTTTTGTGGTTGAATTGTAAGAGTTCTATTATATATTCTGGGTTCTAGACCTTTATTAGATACATTATTTACAAATATTTTGTCCCTTTCTGTTAGAGTGTCTTTTTTTACTTTTTCATAGTTTTCTGTGCACAATAGTTTTAAAGTTTTAACTAATGAAGTCCATTTTATGTACTTTTGAAGGATTCAGTACTAAATTCAAAGTAATGGATATTCCTGTTTAGCTCTTACATTTAGTTGTTTGATCCATTTTGAGTTAATTTTTTTATATGATATAATACCAACATCCATCTTCATTCTTTCGTTTGTGGATATCCAGTTGTACCTGCACCTTTTGTTATAGAAAGAATTCTTTCCTACCTAATTTTTTCTTGGTTTAATCCATATGTATCTATCTTGGCCACAAAGATATCTCAGGTAGATTGTCATATACTTTGTTCAAATCAAGATTCAGAACTTCTATTTTCATCTTGTAATTTTCTGGTTCAGTACCCTTACTCAAAAAAATGAGATAATTAAAATTTTATTTTTACTAATAATACAGTAGTTTTTGTTCTACACTGCATTTTATTTTATTTTTTTTTTTTTTTAAAGATTATTTATACAAGAACTGGGGTACAGGCCAGAGGCGTGGCAGGGTGAGAGAATTCACCAGAGACAGAGCAGGGAGCAGAACAGGCAGAAGGACCAAAAGCACTGCTGAGGGGAGCAATGGGCAAGACAGGCGAGGTCTGCCATGCCATGTGGGTATCTCCCTGGCCAGCCAGGAATTGAACCCGCACTGCAGAGGCTGCAGATAGCTTCACAGCGCTGTGCTCAACCTGCTGCACCACCGGGGAGGCCCTGCATTTTTTTTTTTTTTTTTAAGATTGATTTATTTATACAAGAACTGGGGTACAGGCCGGATGCGTGGGAGGGTGAGAGGATTCACCAGAGACAGTGGGGAACAGAACAGGCAGACTGATGAAATACACTGCTGAGGGAGTAGCAGGCGAGACAGGAGAGGTGTGCTGCTCCATGTGAGATTCTCACCGGCCGGCTGGGATCGAATCCACGCTGCAGGGGCTGCAGACAGCTTCACAGTGCGGCGCTCAACTACCTGTGCCACCGGGGGAAGCCCTGCATTTTTTTTAATGGACCTAAAAAACCCCTGTATTCTAAATTCTTTATATTTTCCTGGAGACTAATAACATTTTTACCCATCTCCTTTCTTCTCTTTTTGGAAATAGTACAATTTACCTTTCATTGCTATTCTGGTACTTTTCTCCATGATTTCTCAAAGACTGATTTTTGACTATATCTTTGTTCTTTCAGTACCATGAGATGCAATTATTCAGAGCCTTGAGACTTTAAAACTGCTTTAATGCAGTTTGGAGTTATCTCACCTGTCTTAGTTTTCAATTTTGTCTTAATGATGTTGTTTTTCCTTTTAGAGTTTATGGACAAGATGGGAACCATAGCTTTTGACAATAATCCTGCTTTTTTTTTTCTCTAAAATCTGTTAATATTACACCACCTATTCCAAGCATTGGATGTATCTCTTCTTATTCTTCTTTATCCATGCGTAACTCTAAAAAGCGCTTTTTGTTCTTTTTACAGATCTCAGCCCATTCTAGTATTAAATTCTGTGTGTTCAGGTTTTTGCCACATCCTTATTTTTGGTTTTTATCCTTTTAAAATTGAGCTACATCGGAGAATACCCTGATAGCATTTTTCAAAATGCTTCTCCCCTTTTTTTAATAGAATTATGTTATGCTATTAGAAGATTCTTTTCCAGGCTTCCCAACTCTATTAATGACTTTTCTATAGTTTTAATGATATGTCACTTTTCTGTTAGCTTAAAGTTTTCTAAGTTGAGGTTAAACTTAATTAACTCTTGCTGTTCAGATGAGTCAAATTTTTCCAGTATTTGTCTTTCATTAGTAAGAAAATAGCACTTTTGTCTTAAAAATTAAATCAAGACGTTATTGAATACTATACTTTTATTGAGAGCTGCAGCAGTAAGTGTATTGATAATTTATTTCTTGTCACTACTCATCTTGCCTTTTTACTGGTTTGGAAGTAGAACATTATCCATATTTTGGTCCATATTCATATTCTTTGTGTCATGTTTATCTAATACACCTCCACAGTGCTATTGTATACTCTATTGTGTTTCTGCCTCAGGTTTGTAGATTTCCGTAAGTGCATAAATCTTGATACTTCCATTAGTGAATATAATTGTTTTAATTTCCCTGTTTGAGTTATGATTTTTTTGTCCACAACATTGTTGATATGTCACCAGTACTGAACAAATTTTTAGCTAGGACTTGGCTTTCTTCTTTTTCTGTTGTCTTTCTCAGTGTAAATACCTTTAACAAGTAAAAGTACAAAGTGAAGTGTCAGTGTGTCTTAGGTAGCTGAAAGTCATACTGTTTTTGCTACTTCTGTTATTGTTTCTCTTTATAGCAATAGAAATAGATTATGAGATTTTCCTGTATCATATCTTACATAAAACCTCCAAGAAACTAATATAGTTCTGACTGCTATATCAGATAAAGATACTACAATACAAATTCCTGAGATAGTAAGTCTAGTTCTCAGATCTACTGTATCTTATTCTTGATTTTGTTGTATAAGGAATGCTATTTTTGTTTCAAACAATGTACATTCTATATGTGTTCTGTGATAACATTCCAATTGTGTTGGGTTTCTTTTCTCTTCACTTTCAATTTTTCCTTTCAACAGACTCATGATATTAGCATTTCTTTTTATTGTGGTTTTTTCTTTGTTTGTTTGCTTGTTTGTTTTGTACTTAGTGGCCTTGATTTATTTTCTTTTTGGTTTCTTTATAGCCCTAAATTCTAGCAAAGAACTTTGAGAATTTAGCTGATAGAAAAGCTTACCATTTCCTTCGTGTTTATCATTTATAAATGGTACCCATTTTCCTTCAAAAAGGATAAGACACAAACCTGGATAAATTTTGTGTACTTGTTAGCCTGCATCTTAAGTTGAACTTTGGGGATATTTCTTTTGTTGTAGTTAAAATAAGAAAATAAAAATGTATATTGACTTTGTTAAAGACAACCGAAAACTATATGTAAGAAAGTTTTTAGGGGCCTCCCCTGTGACACAGAGGTTGAGTGCTGGGCTGTGAAGCTGCATGCAGCCTCTGCAGCGCCGGTTCGATCCCTGGCTGCCCGCCAGGGTCCCACATGGCGTGACAGACCGCTCCTGCCGCGCCCACTGCTCCCCTCAGGAGTGTATTTCATCAGTCTGCCTGTTCCCCGCTCTGGCTCTCTCACCCTCACACGCTTGTATAAATAAATAAATTAAAAAAAAACACTTATAATTTAAAAAAAAAAGAGTTTTTAGGGCCGCTGTGGTGGCGCAGGTGGTTGCGCGCAGTGCTATGAAGCTGTCCGCAGCCTCTGCAGTGCGGGTTCGATGCCGGCCTGCCGGCGACAGTCCCACATTACCTCTCCTGTCTTGCCCGCTGCTCCCCTCAGCAGTGTATTTCATCATTCTGCCTTTTCTGTTCCCCGCTCTGTCTCTGGTGAATCCTCTCCCTCCCGCACATCTCACCTGTACCCCAGATCTTGTATAAAAATAAATAAATTTAAAAAAAAAAAGTTTTTAAATGTGCTTCCATTTTAAGAAAATGACATGAATTGTGGGTATTATCAAATTCCTATAAGGGTGGGTGACAAAGTAAGCATTCTAGTTAAAATTCAGCAAAGGAAGGGGTAGTCAGAAATTTGTACTGATCTCTTGACTCCTGGTGAAGCATTTTACCAACAGTACATACTCCTCCACACTTGAGCAGAAGACAAAGATCCCTCATTTGAATAATATCTGACCTTAATATTATTCATGGACATTAGGTCAGTTTGTATCATAAATAACTGTTAAAGTATTAGGGAAGTAAAGGAGTTTGGGGGAATGAATAATAAATATACATCATTTCTACAATGTGTTTTTGTAGTGTGTTTACATTGGATAGTATCTAAGCCAAATTATGCTTGCAAACAAATCTTTTTATTTTACTAGAAGTAGTGATATATAGAGCATATGTGTTTTACTTTTACATTTATAAAATATATTATGAATTGGCCCTTAAATAATTTTGTGAAATTATTTAAGATACAGTATAGAAGATAAAGTGATTGCAGTGGCATTCTTAAGTATGACTGAAACTCCAGGTTGAGTAGATTAAAATCATTGAAAAGTGTCTTGTGTATGTATTTCTATCACTATGAATTTTTGAGATTTTTATCCACATTTTAAGTTAGGGAAAGTAAAATCTTTTTTAATATTTTGCAACTCATATTTATTTTGCCTACATGTGGTTAATGCAGATTATGTCTCACATACCCTTAAATTTGATTAATAATTTTTTCCTGGTTATAGCAATACATATATTTTGATTAGAAAGGCAATGTTTATCTTTATGTGTAAATAACAGTAATTCCATTTTGATTGTAAAATCTCTATGTAGGTATGTTTAAGGATATAAAAGTTGAATATCATTGTCTTGTGTTCTTAGCCATATGGTTAATGATTCTTAATATTTATATTGAAATATTATAAATAGAATATCTATATGATATTTGGAGATATATGGGGGATAGAGTAAATGCCTCACTTTCCCACAAATAGATTTATCAAAAAATTAAGGAAGATAACAGATTTACTAATGGGGAAGCAAACTATTAGATTTATATTGATTATATCTGATTTCATTTATATATATTTCTTTTTTAAAAAAATTTTTAAAGATTTATTTATTTATGCATATAAGAGCTTGGCTACAGGCCAGAGAGATTGGTGAGGGGGGCAGTGAGTATTCACCAGAGACAGTGGAGAACAGAACAGGCGGATTGACTGAAATACACTGCTGAGGGGAGCAGCAGGGGAGACAGGAGAGGTCTGCTCGCCATTATATTTCTTTTTAGGGACTGAAATAGGGCTATTTGGTAGTATTTTAAATGTTGCTTAAGCTTGATTCATTTGTTATGCTATTTCTAAAAATCATTTGTTTCTTTATAAAGAATATTTAGTGATGTTCTTTTCTGTTTCATTACAGAGCTGAACTAGAGAAACATGGTTATAAGATGGAGACCTCATAGCATCCAGAAGTGTTGAAGCAACCTAAACTTGACCTGTTTACTAAATTCCAGGACAGAGGACCCAGGACGGAACACTTTAAAAAATTACATGTTTATTTCATTACCTGTTTGAACTTATTTTTGTTTTTGTAACACAAAAAATAAATGTTTTGGTCTAATCTTTGTTTAGTTCAGAAGTCTTGCTCTTTTTACCTTTAATCATTTATTTTCTCATACTCTTCATGATTTTCTAGAACTTTATTATATAGAGACAGTGAAACTTTCTATTATGATTTTCTTTTTTAATGTGAACTAAGGCTCATGGAGGTTAATTTGAGGCTAGACCTCTGATTCCCATTTTAGTACTTTTCTTATATTGATTAAATGTTGTGTTTAGAAGATACTTCTTTATAAATCATATTCAGCTTAATTTGAGCTTAAAAAACATTAAACACATTAAACACTTCAAAACCTGTGTTTTAAAAATGTTGATCATTTTAAATTGCTATAATTAATTTCTGAGCCACTGGTTGATAAGAGTAGTAGTATTACTACTTAAAATCCAGAGTTGTTTGATACAATCCTGAGAATAGGTCTTATGTTAAAATGAGGTAGTGGATTCAAATACATTTGTTAATGTGCATTCTGGGGTACTGCGTAACAGCTTCATCAATTAAATTTCTGCAAAGTGATTGCTGTTGCCACATCTGCTTTTATAAATGGGAGATTTAATTTGGTTGATAATTCTTCCTGATAAGACTAATACTTAGTTTTTTGTTATACAGAACTTTATTTTATAGTACAAACTTTGTTTCAAGCTTGAATATGTTACTCATTTAGAAGTAGAGTCACCCTGCTGGAGTAATTAAAGTTGTAAAATTTATGTAACACGATGTAGTGTAGACACCAAAGTAGAAGTGGGGCATCTGAAATAAAAGTTGGCCTTGAAATGATTAAAATTAATGTTTTCTCCTCCTAAAACAAACAAATTTACTTACCTGATAAAACTAGATGATTAGATAAAATAAGGGATAAGAAATTTGGAAATTGTAAAAGTAATTTATATATGTGATATTTTTGCAGTCATAGTGAAGCACAGGCACTCGTGCTAATGTTAATGCACATGAAGAAATAGTTTAATGTATATTTTCTCCGATATGGTCAGTGGTTACAATGTCTTTATTAGGCCCTATATTAATGGTACCTCAACAGTATCAAATTAGTACTCAAAGCGATAACCACCTCATGAGACTTGAGTTTCAATTGGTGAGGTATGATTTTGAAACCTCAGGAATTGGGAAGCTGGTTTTTGTGTTTTTTTTTTTTTTTTTTTTTGGTGGGACCCTTGCAGTGACCAGGGATTGAACCTGCGCTGCAGAGGCTGTGGGCAGCCTCGCAACCCAGCGCTTAACTGCTGCGCCACCAGGGGAGGCCCTGGGAGGCTGTTTTAATGAGTTATCTCTATCCAGTGTTTTCTCCTTAATGGGATTTTAAATTTTTGGTGGTTTACTTGGTTAAAGATTAAATGTCTGAAAATTGGTATTTGAGCTCAGGATAATTAAGCACATTTATGGCAAGAAGTAAGACTAGTTATCTTTCTGGGATTTTACAGCCCTTAATTTCTTTAACTTGATTTTAATAATGACCCTGTGAAGTGGGTAAGAAGAGCCTATCTTTTTTTGTTTTTTTTTTTTTTGGTGCTGAGTCCACATATTAGAGTTCCTGCTTTTGTGCAATTGATTTCTAGTTTGATACCATTTTGGTCAGAGAAGATGCTTGATATAATTTCAGTCTTCATTAATTTATTGACACTTGTTTGGTGAACCAACTTGAGCTATATTCTGGAGAATGTTCATTGTGCACTTGAGAAGAATGTGTACTCAGCTTTTGGGGGCATGCAATGCTCTACAAATTTCTGTTAAGCTCAGGGTATAATTTTTTTTTTTCAAGATTCATGCTTATGAGAGCTGGGGTACAGGTCAGAGATGCTGGTGGTGAGAGGATCACCAGAGTCAGAGTGGGGAACAGAACAGGCAGACTGACTGAAATACTCTGCTGAGGGGAGCAGCAGGTGAGTCAGGAGAGGTCTGCTGCGCCATTTGGGTTGCTCCCTGGCTGGCCTGGAATTGAACTCGTGCTGCAGAGGCTGCGGATTGCTTCATAGTGTGGTGCTTAACCCCTTGCACCATCAGGGAGGCCTAGGGTATAATATATATATTTTTTATTTTATATATTTCTTACATCATGTTTCATTTTTGCACAATGTATGCACTTTCATCTTGATTATATTCCCCATACAATTGCACCCCCCTTATTTTGACCCCAATCCCTTCTCTCCCTGCCCCCCTCCACTCCCATAGTGTGTCTCTGGTTTATAGTTGCTTGTTAATTTTGATGTTTTCTTTATTATAGTTGTTCTTTTTCCTGGCCCCATATTTAGGTTTTCTAAATTCCTCCTATGAGTGAGACCATCTGGTATTTTTCTTTTTCTTTCTGGCTTATTTCGCTGAGCATGATCCCTTCCAGGTCCATCCATGTTGCTGCAAATTGTGTATGTATACCATATCTTCTTGATCCAGGCATCTATTTTTGGGCATTTGGGCTGTTTCCAAAGCTTAGCTATTGTAAATAGTGCTGCTATAAACATGGGGATGCAGATGCCCTTTTGAATTAATGTTTCTGTGTCATTTGGGTAAATACCTGGGAGTGGAATTGCTGGGTCATATGGAATCTCTATCTTTAGTAGGTTGAGGAATCTCCACACAGCTCTCCATAGTGGTTGGACCAGTTTGTACAATCCCACCAGCAGTGCAGGAGAGTTCCTTTTTCTCCACATCCTTGCCAACATTTATTGCTAGTTTTTTAAATATGTGCCATTCTCACTGGTGAAAGATGGTATCTCATTGTAGTTTTGATTTGCATTTCCCTGATTACAAGTGATGTTGAACATTTTTTCATATGCCTGTTGGCCATTTGCATTTCCTCTTTGGAGAAGTTTCTTTTTAGCTCTTCTGCCCATTTTTTGACTGGATTATTTTCTTTGTTTTTGTTGAGTCTCATCAGCTCTTTGTAGATTTTTGTGATCAGTCCTTTATCATTAGTGTTGTGTGCAAAAAATTTCTCCCAGTCAGTGGGGTTTCTCTGTTTTGGTTATTGTCACTTTTGCTGTGCAGAAGCTCTTTAATTTATTAAATGTAGTCCCAGCTGTTTATCTTTGCCTTCACTATCACTGCTTTGGGTGATGTGTCTGTAAAGCTGTCTTTGAGGTGCATGTCATGTAGTGTTTTGCCTATTATTTCCTTCTACATATTTTATGGTTTCAGGTCTTTTGTCTAGTTCTTTAATCCATTTTGAGTTGGTTTTTGTGCATGGTGTGAGGTAGTAGTCAAGTTTCATTCTTTTGCATGTAGCGACCCAGTTTTCCCAGCACCATTTATTGAAGAGGCTTTCTTTGCTCCATTGTATATTCTTTGCTCCTTTGTCAAAGATTAGTTGACCGTAAATCTGCAGGTTTATTTCTGGGTTTTCTGTTCAGTTCCATTGGTCCGTTTGTGTTCTTGTTCCGGTACCATGCAGTTTTGATGATTATGGCTTTGTAGTATGGTTTGAAATCTTGAGAGTGTGATGTGTCCGTTCCCTTCTTTTTTGGGGGTATAATATTCTTGACTGACAGTTTTTATTTTTAAATATTTTGAATGTATCATTTCACTTTCTCCTTGTTTGTATGGTGGTTCCCGAGAAGCATGATGTAAGCCTGATGGGAGTACCTTTTGAAGTTATCAGCTTTTTTTCCTTATCCACCTTCAATATTTTTTCTTTGTCTTTGACTACTGGAAGTTTCATGACTGTCTTGGTGTGGGTCTTATTACATTTAGATAACTGGGTATTTTTTTACCTTCATGGACTTCAATATTTTGTTCCTTTACCAGGTTTGGGAAATTTTCCTCTTACTTGAATAAGATCTGTCATCTCTGTTCCTTTATCTTTTCTTCTTCTAATAGAATGTGTTAATGATTTTGATGATGGTATTTTCAAGTAGAGGAATGTACAGAAGACTGATTTTATGAGACTAACAATCACTTCTCATTGTGACAGCCAAGAGTAAGAAGGTTATTAGCATTAGCCACAAATGTTGGAATTATATCATTTAATATTTTCCAGTAACTTCCTATTTGGTGATTTTAAAATGGGGATACGCTAAACTTTTTGCTTTGGAGATTTATATGTATCTTTTAAAGTGTACTGTGGGGCTTTCCCGGTGGCACAGCGATTGAGCGCTGAGTTGCGAAGCTGCCCGCGGCCTCTGCCGCACCGGTTTGATCCCCGGCTGCTCCCCGGCCACGGGAGGAGGGTCCCACATGGCGCGCAGACCTCTCCTGCCGCCTGCTGCTCCCCTCAGCAGTGTACTTTGGTCCTTCTGCCTGCTCTGCTCCCTGCTCTGGCTCTGGTGAATTCTCTCACCCTCCTGCACTTCTGACTGTACCCAGTGCATGTATAAACAAACAAACAAACAAATAAATAAATAAAACATGCCTCTATTAAAAAAAAAATAAAGTGTACTGTGAAGGAAAAATTGTATAAGAAAACTGTCTTGCTAAAATTTATCAAAATCAAAAGCAAAAACTTAAATGCTGTTGACATATATTTGAGAGGCTCTTTGTAGTTTAAAAGTTAGCTTGTTAAATGAATCTAAGCATCTTAAAACCTAAATTTTCACTGTTTGTCTTAGCCTATATATTACTATTTATCAGTGGTTCATTAGTATTAGATTTTCTTTTTCAAATTAAAATTATTGATAGGCTAATTATCTTTTTAGTATTTAGTTCTTTTGAAAGGGGTTTTATATACTTTTCCACAGAAAAGTTTTTTCTTTATTTTTCTTGTCTAAGTGAAATTGGTAATCTCATTTTAGAACAACCACAAGTTACAGAAAAGTCTAGAGATAGTCAGGAATCAGATAAATGATATGTGGTGATATGTGGTGTTCCCAGGAGGTGTGAAGATGGCACTCCATCCCTCTCTCGTTTTCAGTTATAGTATTTTGACCTTTATTTGTTTTAAACATCAAATCCAGGGTAAGATTTCATTTGAAAAATTGATTCTACTGCCTTTCTTGTAAAGTTTGATAACAGTGATCTAGATTTTCTACAATATTGGCAATTTCTCCTAAATA